TATTAGCAAGTATTTTCTGCATTGTTCGGTTCAGTGTTGAGTTACTGGTGCTGCGAAGTAACTTGTACAGCGAAGTAACATGTACTGCGAAGTAACTGACATTACTTATAGTTGCTGGTACTACTAAATTACTGATAACGCGAAGATCTCAGGCCGTTATTGAGTAATGAATAATCAGTGCAATGCTTTTCATTCTTAGCGGTTAAGGTATATTAATCTTAGTGGACAATCGCTGCTACATGAGGCCATCTATATCAGCTTGTGCAATCACTTCTACAAAGATTGTTTATCTTGATGTGCAGTTGTTGTTCTGAGAGGCAATTCATATTAGTGTGTGGACACCATTTCATGCAAGCTTGTATCTCAAGGTGGAGAAACTTTGGCCATGATTTCATTAATCAGAGCTCTAATTTCTAGTTGATATACCTTGCATTGATAATTATTCGTCTGTATTCACATTATTTATTAGAGATAGATAGAAATCAGACATTTTGTAAGGCGAAATGGGAGTATAATTGCATCTGTTCAGTATGCACCCCACTAATCAACAGCGTGCTATTCTTCCTATTACGCATCCTGTGCTGGACGGTAGCGTTATTGCCAGTATCTATACATGCACACCCCGAATTGGATGTGCATCCCATTTTTCCAGTATGCAAAATTATTTTCCAGTATGCTGTATGCGAGACATTAGCATCAAGTCAGCAGTGTGTCACAATCTTCGCCATCGCATCTATCGCACCAGCAGATGTTCCGGAATGCAAACCGCGTATCAACATTGTTCCCCAATCTTATTCTGAGTTACATTGCTGCTTGGAAGTCCCAATATCTACTCTGCTTTAGTCTACATTGCGTCCCATTCTATTTCAGAAGCGTACACTGCGTCCCCAAAAGAAGCATGTACTCTACTATATTGCGTTCCCATTATCTTTCCTATTATCTTAAGTAGGGCACGGCTAGGACATATCAATCAGATATTTTATTTGTGCAGGTCAAGAGCGCAACTCAACGTTGTTTTGATGTAGATCTCAATTGTCTAGCTACAGTTTTCTTAAAAATTAATGCGTTTTACCAAGGCCTCATGCATGTACCCGACAGTTCAGTGACTCGGATTGAGTCTGGCTACTCTGAGTAGAAAATTAGCCAAGATTTCGAATATACAGCACCGTGTACAGGTTATCATAATATTCTCTTCAATATTAAGTTATAATGTTCAAGTTTTGTAATACATATTTCGCTCCCATTGAGTTCTACATGCCATACAAATACGGTTATCAGTGCAGAGTAGATCAAAAAAGTCCTCATATACACACCGCATCTCCACCCCGCGACCTAGTATCAGGCCAGCATAGTTATAATGTTCCAGTTTTGTAATATTCCACTACATATTGCACTTGTATTGAGTTATACATACCATCCAAATACGGTTATCAGTGCAGAGTAGGTCAAAAAAGTCATATACACACCACATCTCCCACCCCGGGACCTAGTATCAGGCAGGCGCGGGGGCATTGAGTCGTGTAGATCCGGACGAGCGGATGCGCTTATTGACTGCCGGACACTCGCTGCGTATCCGGCCGTCACTGCCTCGGCTCACACGTGCTGGCGACCTCGACATGTGATCTCATTTTGGTGATTCTCAATAGAACGTTAAAATATTGATATGTTATCACTGTTGCGCTCTGAATCAGTTCTGAAGTATGAAATCTGCTACTGTTACTTTTACTTTGTGAGTTCGTTTGCGATTGTGTATTATTCCATCGTCGTGCTCTTAGCGAGTTTGATTTTATTTTTTAACATTATTGGTTTTCTACGAAGCAATTTAAATCGGTTTATTTCGTATTATTTCATAAATTCGTTTTTGGTAAAGTTTTACTGTTCTGTAATCGCTCTTATTGGCGCAATACCGAAATTTGTATCTCGAGCAACGTCATCGTTTGTATGGTGTTTAACACACGCTTATGATGCATTGAAGGGGATACGGGCTTTAAAACAACAATGTTTACTATAAGAAGAATCAAGAGACATCAATATCATTCGTTAAGGTATAAAAGTTAAAGTGATTTTTCTTTTTCAGATTTTTTCTTCAGTTTCTAGCTTTAGGTTTCATGTAACAGGGAGTTATTAATGTGATATTTGAGTGCCTTATTATTATGGAGTAGAAAAATTTCACAGCTACAAGTTGATGTCTGCCTCGTCTATATCTTGAAACATTTCTCAAGTGTATCGTCATTGAACCGGAACTCTTATGGTGGATCTGCGACTGTATGAAATTTAATGATTGTTATTTGTGAAATCTTGGTTATCATATGGTAATATTATAAGTAAATAAATTCATTGGCCTGCTTGGCATCATTTGAGATTACGAGGTTGCGACCGGCCTTCCATACAAAAATTTGCATCTATTCAAAAGAAAATATTTCGAAAGTGTAAAAATATTATACTTAAATTAAAATATTGAAAGAATTCACGCTCTTTATTATTTAATTATTCGTAATATTTACTAGACAATGAAGGCTGTTGTAGGGATGCCAGCGTGCCCCATGGAGGGGCTACCTCCCCCCGAGAGCCGCCACGTGGTACTTACGAAGCTGGAGGGCAACGAATACGTGCTACGTGTTCCCCGCGGGGGCAAATCCGCGGTGTGGAAGATATTCCTGCACGTGCTTACAATGGGGGGCCAGAAAGTGGACTTTGTGCTGTGTCGCTACTGCTGTGGATTGTTCATGTATAAAGGATATGCCAGCGGTACATCATCCCTCATGAACCACGGGATCAGATGCCTGGACCGGCCAAAGAGACCCGATGAGTGCACTGAAGGTGCCAATGCCAACGTGCTAATTCATGAAGACTGGCCTGATGCTTTCAAAGAACAGCCTTATTTCTCGCTGAGTTTCTTGAAACGATACAAACAAGGTGATCGTCGTCCACCTTCTCCTTGCTTGCCAATCAAATACGCCGTGTCATTCAAAGTCGAAGCGCCTTCGTTTTCTCTAGACTCCACTGCCGCGACTACAGGTGTTGGGGAAACTCAACTCAACACTTACCCTAACTATAACAACAATACAATCGTCAACAACAATCATCCCATCAACATGGTTAAAACCAACGGGACTAAGGCAGTCAAAAACCACTCCAACCATAACACAACCAGCAACAAGAACGGCCCAACTATTCCCAACAACAACAACAATCATAAAGTAAAACGCGAAGTTCAGTCAACGGTGAACCTTAACTCGACCGATCATGGGAGCGTGCCCGGCTCCCACACTATTCCTCTGTACACAGCCCTTCATGTCGCTGCCCAAAGCTTCGGTGTGCCTCTGGATTTGTTACTCAAACTTGCAGGTATTGTATCCCCGTGCAATTATATTTTTTAGGAGGTTTCCTTTACACTATGAACCATGTGCACTGCCTTTTCAAAACTTGTTTCAACCTTTTCTGGTCATTTTCACTTTCAATATCAGTGTTACATAATTTGTATCGGTAAACTGTTATGAAAAATTCAGCGCTATGACTTGTTCCCTCTTGCGAAGCGGAAGGACGGTTTGCTTTGATTCTACCACCGCTAATTTCGGATTCGCGGAAGAATCTTTTCGGATCTGTCGAAGAGAAAGATGGCGTCTGATATTACTTGTGTTGATACCGCATGCAGACGGTAAATGAAGAAGTCTTTGGTCGTACACACGATTTTTAAACACGGTATGTATTCGTCTAAAACGAATAAAAGGGCATTGTAATTCAAACAAATTAATTTCGTCACTACTAAAGCTTATCGTGAGGCTGAAGCGGTGTACGAATGGAAATTTTGTGGCGCGCGCAAAATTTTCTAGCTTCATATACATGTATACTCTACGCGAGTAGAGTAAATACTTTGTTTACAAGTTTTGCCCAATGTTAACAAATAATTTCTAACCGGATGTGAGCAAAATAGAGCCTCGCACACCACTAAAACCACACATTCCTACTGGCAACTGTGGAACAAATTTGTAACTGAAACTTGAAGGCATTTCGCAAGGTTGTGTTGTGGTTTACGAGAATTCACTTAGCTCAGATATTATGTGTCGAAATTTGGAACGAATTGAAAGAGAAACAAAGTAACAAACTATTATTATTTTTTACTCAATCCGTTAATATTCCCAACAGAACTACTGTTCTTGCTGCCTCTCTATTACACTTAAACTGCGCTGATCGGCGAAACTTCATCCCATTATGAGCCTACTCGAAAGTTTAATGTCTGTTATGAAAGTAAATATATTTATCATGAGAGACTGCGAGCATGCTTTTACTCGGTACAGTAAGCATCTGAATTAATATCTAATATTTAAACTTCTCCGGTGAAGACGCCATCGCATTATTTATGTAACGGGCAAAATGATATATTTGGATATCATAGTTTATATATAATGGCTGCAGCAAAATACATGCCGTACCAAGCTAATGATGTCAGTCGATAGTACCTACTTGGGTTTTCTTTTTCTCAATCAATCGAATTCCTGGGAGAAATGCAGACAGGATGTGATGCTTGTGTGTATTTTAATGTAGATTTTGCTTATTATTTCTGTAGACGTCCTTTTTTAATTCGCACGTCGTCTTGATGTATGATGGTTAAATTTGTCCTACGGTCAAGCCTGGGCTGGCGAGTCCGAATTCAACTTATTGAACTCCATTTTCTTTTACCTGATTTGCCATATCTTTCTTAGCGTATCGGACGAATCCACGTCGGAAGAAAAACCGTATTTCCGAAGAATGCTGCACTTTTTCAATAGCTAAAAGCTGGATCTGAATGAAGTTTCGAGATATTTGCTTCCAAAGAGTACATTAAAAGATGTAAAGCGTAACCCCTCTCGAATTTTATGTCACCCGATGTGACGATCTCAATTTATTGCCAGTTACCGGCTGTCATATAGATTTTTTGTATTTTGTCTTACCCTTAAATTTTCGAATTTTTACTTAAATTTAGTTCACTTATTGTTTCAACTTCATTTTGGGATGAATTTTAACTGGATTTAATCAACGCGAGTCTGGAGCTCGTGGGTGGAGTTACTGAAACTTGAATTATTTCGTATACAAACTTTACCTTGAAAACTCTCTCCTTGAATAATCTTTTATTCAAATTTCTTTGTTGTTTTGTACCGTAATGATAACATTCTTTATCACATCTGATAAGCCTTATCGTGGGTATCGAGAGCAGCAGTTGTGTGTAGGCCCAGGGTTGTAGATTCAGACTCGCCCGTTGTTTAACACACAAAGCGGATACGTCTGATATACTCCAGTTTTATTAAGAGATTATACCTTCTGTGAATGAACATTTATGTGCAAAAATAGTTTTACGCGTTCGCCTGAACTTGAGGCAACGCGTGTATTATGTTTGTGCATGGGGAAGCAGTAGCAGCTGCGTGTTGGGGTGTATGTGGGGGACAGCAGCGTTGAGGGGAGGAGGCGGTATCGGTCGATATCAGATATCATGGCGTTGGTATCGAAGGTGGGGGTTCGTTCCAAGCTCGGCCTCACTTCCTTCCCAACCTCCGCTATACCATCACAGCTTCTCGCTCTCTTCCGCTCCGTATTTCGAGTTCTCTTGATACTGAGTGCCGCAACACAGTGTAGTGTTTACGTGTCCTCGATTGATGCGGGTGTTCCGTGTTTACATTTAAGTGCTTTAGGTGTATTTTGTGCGTGATATTCTTCTGTAATGGCGGCAGCTGAGAGCGCCATTGATAGTGGGCTGGTATCGAACTTACCGAATATCGGAGCCAAGCCAGTATCGGAAACTTGCGCCGCTGCCTCCGTATCTTCTTCTGTTGAAACGAGTGACGAGGTTGCCGCTGCGTTCGCTGCTGCGTGCGCCTCAAACTCTTTCAGCGGAGACTCAGTTGGTCCTGGCACTGCTCCTGCTTCAGGTGTTGCTGCCTCGTCTGCGAATTCAGGACGAAGAACTTCACGCGTTTGGCTCTATTTTAGCATGATTGACAACTACCACTACGCCTGCAAACTATGCCAGTTCGTAGGCACGTACACCAATACGACCAACATGCGCAAGCATATACAACACCACCATCCAGAACGGTACCAGGACATTCTTGATCATACCCGTCACATCACTCGACCAAATCTACAACACTATTGCCCCATGGAGAACTCTCAGCAGCAGCAACTTTCTTTAGCCGGTACTCCAGATCTACAAATGCAATATAGAACTGGAGAAAGAAGCGTTCCTGTCAGCTATCAAAATTATCTGCAAATTCCATCACACCTTCCTTTTGCTCATCCAATGCCTTTTGAAGTGCCAGAAAAGTCTCCGGCAGAAGTCAAACCCTTCGTTGTCGGTCACAATCGCTTCACTGGCCAGCTAGGAACGCTCGCTAACTCCAGTGTTGCTGCCACCATGTGCAACAACAACCAAAGTGGCGCTCCTAAACGTCGATTCGATGAGACCTTTGCCAATAAAAAGTATGAGAACACTGCGGCTCGCTCTAGTGGCCTACGTGGCCATCGCTCAAATGTTGTGAACGTACGCAATTTTTCATACGATGAGCAAGAGGATATGAGAGGTGCCTCTGCCGAATCTCCTGCAGGGCCTGAATCAATGGGAATGGAATTTTCTGCTCGCTATAAGCAATTTGTCTCGTCGCATTCTTCTCAGGTTAAGACGCGGATAAATTCATCTGAAGGTTTTGACTCGCTTAAGAATGAAAGTCAAGGTGAGCTCGATTAAGCGCTGTATCACAACGACTGTTGCTAGTTGATGACGTTAGTACCGTTTATTAAGTAGTATTTCAATGGATGATCGGGTTGTTCCAACTTGCGGTGAAAAAATAAGGCGCCTGATATGAATAATCATTTCAATAAATACAAATCGTCAAATGGTTTATTCTATAATTTATATTCTCAATTGTCCATGCATTACTGATGTTCGAGGTATGATGCAAACCCAAAGTACCGAAATTTCGGCAAAGCATGTTTGTGCTGTGAAATCGCAGATGAAGAAATTTAAGTCATGCCAGAAATATATTCGTTAATTTATTCCTAAACCTAGCTTACTAAGCACCCACCTGCTTAAAATAAGTGAAAGTTTACTTCATTTATCCGTTAAAAATTTTACCGTGACCCCTTAATCTCATTGTTGGGACCCGTTGGACTAATTCGCACCGTAAACATGGGTCCATCACGAAGGCTTGCCGTATTCATGCTACCGCTCTCATTAATTGAAGCCTACGTGAAGCTTTAAAAGAAAATAAGAATTCATTGCACAAGCTCTCTTCATATTGGGGGTTACACACAATTACAAAAACTAGAAATGACATTTTTTTATTCGATAAAACTTAACACAAATTGGTGTCAACAAATTTGGAAATGAGCTTGCATGGTAGCTACTCGTATATGAGAAGTTACGAGTGCGTGAGTTTCAAACACGTTATTCGCATGCCGATGACCATGTTTTTTTACTAAAGCTTCGACCAATAATCATGTTTCACAATCATCATTCGAGTTCAATGTCCTAGTTTTTCAGGTGGAACTACATTTTTCGAAGCAGTGGTAATCTATTAAACACTCAGTTCAGTTTTAAAGCGTTCTATATGCCTCAAACTCGTTCATAACTTCCATAAGTTTTTCTTCTCTCTTACAGACGGTGTCGTTGGCCAGCGGTCTATGTTGCAAGGTTAGAAACGAGGATGCAACCTACGTTTTACCGTTGATCATTATTTATTAATCTGAGATACCGTGCGATAAAAAATTCATGATAGAATTATAAAAATCACTATTGAATATTCAGGCTTATCTTATTATATCCCTTGACGCACGATAGATATTTCATGCTTTTAACATTTAAATCATTAATTGAAGTGGACGTTTATTAAAGGAGGTTTAAATTAAAGGTTTTAATTAAAGGTTTAAATTAAGGGAGGTTTATATTAGAGGAGGTTCAAATTAAAGGAAGTTTAAATTGGAGGATATTTAAATTAAAGGAGGTTTAATCAAAGGAGGTTTAAATTAAAGAACTTATAAAAAGGAGGTTTAGAGTAATTAAATTTAATTACCCATGACAGACGACAACGGCGAGCTATCCTCGGGGGGAGGTTCGGTGGGTCTAAGCGGCATTGAGGCCGTGGTGGCTGCGGCCGCCGCTGCCGCAGCGGCTGCGGGGGACCCTGGGCCGGCCGTGAGCGGAGCCTCGCAGACCTCTACGGACAACCACATGATGATGGGGGGCGGGGCTATGACGTCATCAATCAGCAGCTCTGCCGCGGCCAGGGAAGCCGCCATCGGCATGAGTCCTCCATCGGTTACATCGCCCAATAAACCAGGCGAGATTTTGCACCCTCAGGAAAATTGGTGTTGGACATTCACTGTTTTATTCGTTCTACAAAATTTGTATGGTCATTTATTTCTCAAACCCAGTAAGGTAAGTATTTCTAAAATTTCTAACTGAAATAATTTGATATTTTCGACCTTCAATCTCTCGAACAAGTTAAAGGTTAACTAAGATCATATGTGGCCACTAGCTTGCTAAAAAACAATAAATATTCCTTGATTTTTCTCATTCAACGATACATTCTCCGTATTAACCCAACCTATTTTGATGGAAAATCTTCGGTGCGTACCGACGTTTTCGTTTTACCTTCTAACTGCGTTATAACCTGTAATTTATAACTACAGAGAGCTACCAGCTGCGCCACAACAACCACCTGAGCTTGGTGCTCAACCAACTGGCTGAAGACGAAGCCTTTATGGACGTAACACTCACGGCTGAGGGACGCTCTGTGAAGGCACATAAGGTACAAGTCCCGACTCACATTATCTGCTTGATAATTTTTATCTCCTTGCCGTTTAATTCGCTAAAAATTTAGGTTGGAATGGCAGTAGTTATATCTAGTAATTACGTACTGTTGGTTTTGTAGAAATATTACATCATTTTCATGGTGTTGAGCCCATTTTTATATTGATTTAGAGTGAATTTTTATGATTGACTACAATTCTCATCCTTACCACGGATCGTCGATAGCAATATCCACCTACCTCATTACTGCATAATTCTGATAAATTCTGCTGTTCACACAGAGCGTGCTGTCAGCAGTGAGTCCTTATTTCTCTGCCGTGCTGCGTGCTAACCCGTGTCAGCATCCTATCATCATCATGCCACGAGACGTGCGATATGCTGAACTTTCCAACATCATCATGTACATTTACAAGTGAGTCTGGCTGTGAAATCCTGCTTTTGCAGATGGTTGAATGAAATGATGTTTTCAATAATACTTTTTGCATTTATGTGAATAATGATGTTGTGATTCATTTTTACCTATTGTTGTGAGTAATTTGTGTTCATTTATTCTCAACAGTCGTAGTAGTATTGACAATATCAGTCCTCGACGGTCTTTTTCGCATTAAATGAGACAAATTATAATTCCTACTAATTTGTGTTATAATAGTTGTGATTCAGAATAATTTACCCTGTGTATATTTGCGTGATCTCTTCTTACCAAGTCTTAAGACAGAAATTGCTTTGGCAACGATTTTCGTGGTGATAAACAAAGAGGTAATTCAATGTATGATGACGTCATCTCTCGTTACAATGAATACAGTAACACTTACTCCATGTATTTGTGGAATAAGCATTAATCCTTTTTCCGCGGTTGGTAGCTCTCGTTTCTAGGCCTTTAGATACGAATGCCGTGTTTCGACGGGTAATTTATTATGTTATTTATTTATTTGTAGACGAATTGTTGATATACATGTGTTGTTACAGGGGCGAAATGACGGTGTCGGCTGAAGACCTGCCATCCCTCCTGAAGACCGCCGAACTTTTGCGGATCACTGGACTAAGTCCAGGCGAGAACGCGACATCTTCGCAACAACCCCTGACGCGCACCACTAACCTCTCCTCCTCATCCTCCACCGTCACCGCCAACTCTTTCGCGGGACTCTTCAACGGATCCATGAATCCTACCTCTACCTCCTACAGCACACCTCCTCACTCTGAGTCATCTCGAGTCCTAGGCTCGCCCCGGCACGAGCATCTCCTGCAGACAACGCCTATCAAAAAGTCCAGCGGCAGCTGCCTTGCCAAAGCTACTCCCGTTAGAATCGAGTCGCCCACACCAGATCCTACGATGCTTAATCCTTCAGATTTTATGGACCTTGACATGACTTGCGTTAAAGAGGTGGGTACTTCGTAGTATGTAGAATGCTAAAAGACAAAAAAAAAAATAATAATCGGTTCGTGTTTGTTTCGTATATGTGAATGAATATAAAATCCTATGTATGTAAAATAGAATAGGAAGGAGTGAAATTTAAAGTCAAGGGAACTCATAATGTTGAAATTTTTCGTCAAAATTTCATTTATATTACTTTATAACAAAATTTATTAAGATATCATTCGTAATTGTTTACTTTGTTCAATATTTAAAACCTTTTTAGAATATCCGGAGTGTAATTAAAAAATCAATTCCAGACTGTAGTTTGAGTTTGTTCCTACAAGACCATTAATTATAACGCTTTAGTTTTTACATTATGCATGGTGAATTGATCGAATTTTCGAATCAAATTATCATTTTGTAATGAAGCTTTTTTTTAGCTTTTTATCAGCCGATTGAAGCTGAAAGGAATTATGTATATGCATTGTATATAACTTCTTCTCGTTGATCACGATTGTTCTATTACTAATTGACTGCTCGTTGCAGGAACTCAACAGCGAGGAAGAAGATGAGGAAGACATCCCCAAGTCCCCTAGTCCGAAGGAGGTAACGACTCCACCGCCAGTAGAGAACCCACTCTCCTCAGACTCACGGGACCGTCACCCTCCTGATGCCCGCCTTGACCAAGAAGACCCTGACACTCAACCGAACCTGGAAGCCGCTTCCGACGACCATGACTCTTCTCACCTGCGCCAATCATCACATCAGTCGAGCTCATCTCCCGCCGGCCAGCGCGAAGACTCGGATAACGAAATTAAACGCAGCTCATTGAAAACTCTCGCCAATCTCGCCAGCCTAGATACCCCGACCAACTTATCGCCCTGTGACGACTCTTCTTCTTCGTCATCATCTTCTCTGCCTGATACCAGTGAAATTCTGCCTAACGTTTGTCCGTATTGTTCTGAGTACGTTGTTGGCAATGACATGAGCTCTCACCTATCGACCAAACATGCTTTCAAACCAGCGTTCATTTGTTCAGAATGCCAGAGGGTGTTTACAAGGAAGAATGTGCGAGAAATGCACGCCAAAGATTGTAAAAAAGAAACCTAGGTATGAATACAGTGTTCTGACTCCATATTGCCTGATATTAATTCGGGGACATGGACAGTATTGAAAGCGCTTTATAATCGAAATACCTTCAAATTATCTATACGACTTGTATATAAGATACGTTCAGTAAATTGAAATCTCCCACCACCAGCAGATATTATGTAGGTTAAATATTCTGTGCAAATGCGTTCAAAAAGTGTCTGATTGATATCTCACTAAATAAATCGTTTATAGGATGTATAACTTCAACCATTTAAGATGAACATTTGTTTGTTATTTTTTGAGCAGTTCAATAAATCATTTTAAATTCTAAGAAATAGGTACGTACGAAAAACAATAATCACTTTCAAACTGTGAGCAGCTATAATAATTTTTGGATCTTTACTGTATAGATAGATTAAAAAGTTTTTCATTATTTTCCAAGTATTGTCGTCCTTTAAATTACCATAAGTAATTTACTTGTTACTGAATATTATTTAAAAACAACTGCTAAATTATGACAATTATGACACAGATTGCCGTGCATGACTGCATTGGATCGCACCGCGTAACGCGTTTATCGGCGAGCTGCGACACAAAATGTTTCATTTGTCAAGCCCTGAAATGTGGACGCTTAGTGACTACAGAATGGAAGTGTTGAGTTATGAAAACAGCTATGCATCATCATCCTTTTTCCACGGTTAGAGGCCTTGTAATTCATAGCATAACGCTATTTTTTAACGGTTTTGCGATGTTCTCAAAGTCTGATGTTAATATTTATCTTCAATATTTGTGAGTGTTTTCTGTTTCAAGTTTTCGTGAAGTATTTGTATGTATTTCTTACGTGGTGCTGTTGTACATTGTAAAATGTGCTTGTCTAGTACATTTTAAGTGCAATTTGTAGTAATGTATATTTACTTTAGATGACAGTTTATGAAATATTTGTCGCTTTTAACAGTATTTTTGTCAGCATGGATCGTTATATTCTAAGAAAATTGAGGGAAAACAACAATTTTGTCACATTTGATAATTGCTTGAAAAAAATATGCTCCTAATAACGTCATCGCAATTCTGTTAATACTTATAGTATACTACTATGTAAGATAATAAGAGTATTGTAGTTATACAATGTGCAAGCAGTAGTGTCTTAAGGATAACTTTTCTGTGAATATTTCTTTTTGACTTAATCTTAGTGTAAAATAAACGTGCGAAAAGAAGCCATTAATTTGATTGTTCCAAATCATCAGGCAAATATAAATGCACATGTGATCGTAATAACAATTTTGTTAAATATAAACTAGCAAGTTTGCTCGGTTTCCCCGGCACAGATAATCCCTGGAAGTTGGGAATCCCGTTCATTCTAACCCCGTCTTCACAAATTCGGTCATCCCGAGAGCAGTTAATCGTTCTAAAAGTTAAGTACCACAATTAAGGAGAACGTGTACCAACCCTGGCAACCCACATTCAGCAAGGAACTCCTATTCAATTTGGATGCCACCCAACGACTTTTTTTCACATTTAACAAATATCTCGAGTCCAAAAGTATCGTAGGTATGCGCGCGCACAGGCACTATTAATCTCTAGTGCCAGACTTCAAGCACATAAACGTTAAAACTTTTGTGAAGTATTAATTAGGAGAAAATATAGCACAGTCTACCATGTAGATAAATAAGGTCAGGTTTGGCCTGTCGCTGATCCTGCGTAGATAACATTGCAGAATTGCAGATAACATTGCAGTAGCCAGTAGCCACCTCGCCGATTTCTATTATAATTTTTACAATTACGTAGCTGCGGAGTTTGAAATTCAACTCGATGCTATAATCGTAATGATCATTAATCACTCGGCCACGTCTGTCGAAAAGGACACCATGAAGTAATGAAAATAATTCTATATAGGTTTGGTTTTAATCATCTAACTAATTCATTATTGTAAGGGTGGGCTTTGTGGTATGCGTTACCACCACGATAATTTTTCAATTACTCATAATTGTACTACAAGGCTTTTAAGACGTAGAAACTTCGGTAATTGTAGATTTGACAAGTAATTATCTTTATTCATGACGTGTTCTTAGGACGATCGCTGATTGCTTAATAAATTCTAATTAATTTGTCTTTAAATGCTCGCTTGAAATTAATAACCTGTGTAGTAATTTTTTTAACATCAATAATCTCTCTTCAACGAATTGTTCAAAAAGGATAACAATCTAGCATCTTGTGTGTGATCAGCTGCTTGTTGGTAGCAGGTCACACCGATGACGTCACAATTTCGAAACGGAAGAAAAATAGTACGTTACACGTGACTGACGAGTGACGAATGACGTGAGGAGGTCGAGAAAAAAATTGAATGAAGAAACTTTAAAATCAACGGAAACAAAATCTGCAAATTTCATAGAACAGCAGCGATTACAAATATAAATTTACACATTGAAGATCAATATTCCATAAGTTATTGTGTCTCGTTTGACCACGCGAGTGACGCGACTAACGATTATGGGAAGTAGGAACGATCCGGGCCTGTTCGCTGTATCAGATACCTAATCAGACTTGCAGTTGTTGGAGAATTCAAATGAACCTGAGCAACTGCAGTGCAGCAGTGGATGTACCATAAATCAAAATAATATTAATTTTTTAATGGTAATAATAGTGATTATACTGTGGTTGCCAATAATCTAGGCTAATCACCTAAATCTAAGCTTCACGTATGGCGTAGCGGTAGCAATGCCTTGGTGATTAGGCCTATGCAATTAGGCTATGCAAAGCCAGTTTTGTTTCTGGAACATTTTAACCTTGAAGGTGTTAGAGTGGTAAAGCACAAGCAGTGATTTTTTTAGAATCAGTTAATTTTGAATTTCGTCATCTAGCTAGCTACTACCTAGGCTAGCTCCTAGTCTCCTACTCAATATTTAAACCAGTATCATATCATATCAGTGATCAGTCTTATGGTTATGGACTTATGGATGTTTGGATGATAGGCCTAATGCTGGTGCCTGGTGCATGCCTGGTATTTGGTAATGATATGCAAGCCTATCCCTATCATCTATGATACATTTGATACTTTTCTGGTCTGGTGTACATATACCTAACCTACCAGGCTACCAGTCCTACCTACTGAGAACTGATATACCTACCTAGGAGTAGCGAGTGCCGAGTAGGACTCAAAAATGAACTTGGAGTTGGCCTTGGCTGTTGCCAGAGCCAGACGGTCCAGACCAGTTGGCCTGAGGCCCTGAGTTGGGTAATCACATCAGTGACATCACAGTATCTCTGTCTCACACTTGTAGTCTAATCAGTAATATTGAACTGAACATGGCACTCAAAAATGAAGTTATAAGGAACATTCAACAATCAACATTCACTGAGTGCCGTGTCAGACTGGCAGTGAGTGCTATCATCATCATCATGCTATTCATCACAAAGCAGAGAGTTTTTTCGACTCTCCCTCAAGTTCATTTTTGAGTCTTAGCCTATATCCTAAGTAGACCAGTAAAGTAGGGTAAACACGGTATATTCCGAGTTCTGACATCGTGGGATAATTTTGACACTTCTCAACTTTTTCCTTTATATTAAGCTTTTTCTTAGTTCCACCCAGCGTGGAATTCTGTATAGCAGTATAGGACTATAGGTAATATATTCTCATGTTAATATAAGAAAACGTATCAAAAAACCAACCCTACCAGGCTACCACCTCGTTACACCACCTTCCACTGCAGTGAAAATTGATAAACTAAGCTCATTAGAAACTGCCACGCTTCTAAAATCGGGCATGGTTTGAAATCCAATCCCGTGTTGCCAACGCCTAATCAAGTTAACTAGGTAGTCATTTATCTGTAGGCTAGTGGACACATTTTTGCAATGAATACATTCTAAACTAAAAAAACATGTCCACATTCATAAAAAATCCTCACCATTGGACAATACCAACAAAGTTTTCAATATCATACAAAATTATGAGATTAACTGCCACTGTTTCACTGCGTACGTTGACATCGTGCTTCTAAGTTTACGTATTACAAGACCGTCTGATAGTGTCACGCACACATTTGTTTTGGTTGTGTCTAGTTTGATTTCACAGTAGATAGATTTGATTCACATTCCATTCTGAGATTTTTTTTAAATTATAAAAACCTATTTATACGTTTCAGATTTGAATTTTTCCATTTTTTGCCCTATTATATTGAATTTATCTTACTACATTCACTTCAAATTCTGAATGATTTCGTCTGCATCACGCATTTTCGAACGTTGTGTGTCTTTTAGAAAATGTTTGTTGTTTAAAATGGGAAACTATTTCATTATATAAAACATAGAGCATGTACCATATACTGGCATATAGTGCATTAATAATACAATTTAATTTAATAAAAATTAATGGTATTACTTTAGATCAAGGGCATCCAAAAAAAAGGTTGTTTTTTTCTTTTAATTATGTTTTTGAGGTGTAGATTAAGAATCTGAAATCCGTTTTTGGCAGCTGGCATTGGAAATTTTTAATGGAATCTGTTCTCAACTGGACCTAACCTGCAAGGTTTTTGTTGATCAGCTAGGTTTTTCTATGTTTGGACTTTGGAGTCCGTCTGGTGGCCAGAAAAACCTAGCCAATAGGTTTTTTCTATGTTGGGAGTCTCACTTTTTTGGATGCACTTAATCTAAAGTATTACCAAATTAATTTTTAATTTAAAAAATATAATCAGATTTTTAATTCAACATTTTTCTAATAGAATTTAATTCTACAGCATGTACCATCTAGTGTATTAAATAATAGAATTTGATTTAGTAAAATTTTTTTAATTAATTTTAAATTTAATTTAATTCTACAGCTTCAACCGGCAAAAATCAGCATCATAGGCATGAAAGTAAAACTGTCGTTCATACATCACAAATTGAATGACATTGGATGGATTTGATAGGTATTTTATTAGTCCTGTTTATATATAAGAATGGAACTGATGCTTCTATTTCATAATGATAATGGAAATGTTCCTACTATTTTCGAAACTTTTCTTGAATACACTTGCGAAAACTAAAGTTCTGTAATCAATGGAGTCTTTGAAATGACAAAATTGTTCAATTTAAAATTTTTAGCTATATGAGTGAGATTGGCATTCGTCAATATGAGGAGCATTCATTTGTCATTCATGAGGAGCTGTAAAAAAAATTTGTGTGAAATTAATGTAAAAGAATGTTTTTCAATTAAAAGAAATGTAATACCTACTTGATTTTTGGAAATACGATGCTAAAATTAATGATCCATATTAGAATTCAATAGACGTTAAGATTTCATAATTATCTTCAAAAAGTTTGTTTTCATTTGTTTGATTAGAAGTTTTTGTTTGTTTGATCAGAAACAGAAAAAGTTTTCATTCATTTGATCAGAAACAACATAATTATTCATTCTCTTGCACTAAATATACAAATGATTAGTTGGCCTCAGTTACCATCTGCATTGATCATCCCGCTAGATTATGCACCGGGAGCGGGAGGCAGGAAAGAAGCTAGGTATTTAATTCAGTTGCACATTAGCCCATGTGATATGTAGTTCTGCTCGTCTGAACTTTGAATTGCGTGTTTAGTGTGCATGATGGAAAACTCTGCTTTGCAGCATAGTTATAATTACTTAATGAAGTTTAGTTCATTGCGGTCAACTTAAGAGACAAATTTTCAACTAACTAATACTTTTTATAAGTCTAATTTTAATTGTTGAGTGAAAGGTGCGGGCATACAACTTCCAAGTGATTAGGTACTTAATAGAAACTGAGCAAGTTAGCATATGTGTTTTAAGCCTTTAAGAAGTTAATTTTTTGCCTCAAATAATGATGTTGGGTAGAAAAAGTGGTCTTGGTGGATTGAATTAATATATGAACCTTCAAAATTAGAATTCCATCTTGGTTCCACCTTCCACGCATTTGTTGATGGATGAAATAGTGATGTCATACTATTGCCAAAAACACTAGGTCTGGGCCGTCTGGCGGGAAAATGTTGAGATCCAAAGAGATACAGTGCACATCACCCAGTGAGAACATTGAAAAACGTGTCAAAGTTGATAGTAGACCTTGCTCTACCAAATAGTGATAAACTTTGTGTAGAAAGAAATTATGGTTTGAGACTTTTAAACAAGTCTGTGAATATATTAGGAATCCTTTAAGTATACTTGTATTTGCTGATTTCAAGTGGTAAATAAATTATTAGATAATTAAGTTAAGAGACTGTTTTAGACACA